CACTCCAAGCTCTTCTTGCCTTGATGGTTTGCATTGAGAAGTCTGCTGTGATTCTGATGGGCTTTCCTTTGTATGTGATTTGTTTCTTTTCTTTAACTGTAGGTAGAATTTTGTTCTTCTGTTGGGTTTCTGGAATCTTAACTATTATATGCCTAGGTGGAGATTTTTTTTTTTTTGATCACAGCTACTTGGAGTCCTATATGCCTCACTTATTTGTATGTCAATTTCTTTTCCCCTGCTTTGGAAGTTTTCTGTCATCACTCCTGTGAACAGTATTTTATGTCATCTGCATTCTCTCCTGTTTCTTCATTGACTCCAATTAGTCTTATGTTATTCTTCTTTGCATTATCTAGAAGCTGTTGGATTGATTTCTCATGTTCCCTTATAATTTTGAAGCAATTTTTCTTTTCCTGGTCACTAATTGCTATCTTATCCTCTATATCTGAAATTCTGTCCTCACATTGGCTCATTCTGCTGCATAGACTTTCAATGGAGCTTTTAATCTCCTAGAAATCTGTTTGCATCTGTTTTATGGATTCCATTTGTTTCCTATTTTGGTATTCCATCATGTTCCTCAGCTTCTCTATTTCTTTATCTGTGTCCTCTCTAGATTTATTAACCATGTCTTGCACTTTAGCACAATCTCTGTTGTTATCTGAGAAATTATTTCTGATTTCATTTTTTCCAGATCCTCTTTTGTTTCCAGTTCAGAGAGTCCAGATGGTTGAGTATCAGAGTGTTCCATCTCATTTCCCTTTGGGGTTGTTTTAGGTGATCTGAAAGTCTGGTTTTGAAACTTGTCTACATGTCTTTTCCTTTCCACAGGTTGAAGGGGTGTGCTGCTGGCGCCCACGTGGCTCACCTTCTCTGTGCTTGTTGGGGGGTGGGGCACTGCGGCCCAGAAGCCACCTCTTGTGCACTGGGAGCAGCTCACCTCCTCTTGTGCTTGCAGGGGTGGAACAGTGGCCTGGAAGCCTCCTTTTGTCCACTTGGAGAGGCTCACCTTCTCTGTGCTTGCGGGGGTGGCATGGCAGCCCCAAGCCAGAGATTCTTAATCTTGAACCCATAGATGAGCTTTAAGAAATCAGGACTTCCCCTGAAAATATATGCAAAAGTATATTTCTATATTCAGTTTTCTGTAGAAAATTTGTGGCATTCCTCAGATTCTGAAAGATATCCAGATCTAAAAGCTACTAAAAACCACTGATGTAAATAATTTTCATATTGAAAAATTATACTTTTAAATTATTTATTAGGATTATGCTGTTGGTTGGTCCTATCATTTCATTCTAACAACATTTAAAATATTTGTACTCATTTTTTGTTTCAAAGGACAAAGATGAAGGATCATCAGACAATGATGAAGTATTTCATCCAATTCAGGCAGAGGTCCAAATAGAACAATTGCAGCCATACATTCCAAATCCTACAGAAAATGAGGTAAATTTAATATATGTAGTAAATAAATGCATAGAACAGTGGTTCTAAAACTTTTTATGTCAGGATCTCTTTCTAATCTTAAACATTGAGTACTCCAAAATTTTTTTTTTATTGTCTGGATTGTGTCATTCAATGTTTAACTTATGAGAAATTAAAAACAAAAAATTAAAAATACATATGAATTCATTTTGAATCTAATAAAACTCTTAAATGTTAACATAATAAAAATTTTAATGAAATATGTATATTTTATAAAGGAAAATTTTGGAGATAATATCATTGTTTTATATTTTTCCAGATATCTTTAATCTATCTCACTTAGTGGAAAACAGCTGGACCCTCATATCTGCTTCTGCTTTTAATCTGTTGCCACGTGTTGTTTTGGTTGAAATATATGAGCAAAAACTGGCTTCTCACATATACATAGTTGTAAAAGAATACTTTCTATTGATTTTTTTCAGATCATTGTACATATACTTTGATAATATGTCAAAACCAGAAAATTGGAATCTAAAACCATATCAATGAAATTTTTTATAATTAGTACTAGTCAAATCTATTGTCTTGTGCGATGAATAGGTGATTTGTTTATGCATGAATTTTAACTTCATGAATTCATCAGTTGAAAAATATTGGTTTGCTCTGTATATAAATCTTTGAAAATATGTGCCTGTTTCATCAAATAATGCCAAAAAAATTTTGTTAATAATACTATCAATTTCAAAATAAATGCAATTAGTATTTGTTAGCTGTTAATGGCAGATATGTTTAAAATTCTGATATTTTTATCATTGCTAGCAAATAACATCAGTTTTTCTCTTCAGTTGACATCCTTACTTTATTCATTTAAAATAAAATGCCTTTCAAATGTCCATAGTTTGAGTAATCATAGTTTTTCTATCAGTAAAAACTTACATAAAAATATTTCCCATAAAAATGCTAATAGTTCATAATCATGCATCTTTCTCCTTGATTGTTTCTGTTCTGGGATGACATTTGTGACAGAGTCTGGGTAATTTAATTTCAGGTTTATTTTCTTACACATCTTGGAATAACTAGGTCAAGCTTTGTGTCCTTGTTGACTTATATTAATATTATCTTATTTAGCAATACATTGGTGAGACTAGATTTATAGGTTCAATTCTTTTGTTGTTGATGCTCTTTATTTATTTAATTAATGTATTTATTATTTTTACATATTTATAGTACATAATGATTACATTCCTTTTCGTGAGTTATACATGCATAAATCACATCATAATTATTTTTTTCATCACTTTCCTTTCCCCTCTCAGCCCCTCTGTCCATCTCTTGGTCCCCTTGCCTTTTGCAAAAGATCTATTTTCTATTATCTAGCTTTTACTTTGTTTTCTATTTATATTTAGGTTGTGTTGTATAAAAGAAACCATGTGATAATAAATGCTGGTAAGGCTGTGGGAAAAAAAAGAACCCTTCTACATTGTTGGTGGGAATGTAAACTAGTACAGCCATGAGAGAAAACCGTATGGAGAGTCCTCAAAAACTAAAACTAGAAATTCCATTCAACCCAACTATTCCCCTTCTAGGTATCTTCCTGAAAGAGTTAAAAACATCATATTACAGTGATAGATATGTACCCAAATTTATAGCAGCACATTTCATAATAGCTAAATATTGGAAGCAGCCTATATCCCTATCAGCAGATGAATGGATAAAGAAAATGTGGTATTTGTACTCAGTGGAGTACTACTCTGACACAAAGAAGGATAAACTTGAGTCAATTTTAGGAAAATGGTTACACCTTGAGACCATAATGTTAGTTGGGTTGAATTCTTATATAGACAAGGCAGCATTCACAGTACCCAGCCATTGAAAAAACTTTTTGATCACTAAGCAATTAGGTGTGTGAAGAACACAAAGTCTTACTTTATTCACAAGGAGGCAGGAGGCTCACTATTGTTTCCATCAGCACAAGACTGTTCGCAGCACTGGATGCCTCACAGGTGTCTTCAATGAAGTCTTTCATGGGCAGTTCTCCTTTTTAAATACAACATGCTAACATTTTATTGAAGTGAATAACTATGATTATTGATTTCTAAATACTAATCATTCACAGAAGGAGCATAAATTAGATTGTACTATTTAATGAGACAATATGTCTTCCTCTCTGCCCTGGTAAATGACTTTTCTTGTTTTCTCACAAAATAAACATAACATCAGAAGCAAGAAATATAAGGAGCTGTGTTTCATTTAGAATAAATTATATGTCTTAGCGTAGGCTACTCTTGCTAATTATTTTCCTCTTCCAAGTTTTCAAACCAAATGCAGCCAACTCATGCAAGGCCCTGCCTTTGTTACTTTTGGCTATTATCTTTGTGTTTACTACTGTCAATAAATTTCTTTAGCTAGGTGCGATAGTGCACCCCTGTAGTCCAGGCCATTCTGTAGGTGGAGGATCATTTGAGCCTGGGAGTTCAAGGGAGCATACTGAGACAACCATCTTATCAATCAATCAATCAATCAATTTTGAGAATACTGTCATAAACAGAGAGGTTTATACTGGATTACTATAATGCCAGCTATCTGAATTGAAAGTAGAAAGATTTAGTTAGGCAAAGGTATCTTAAATATGTATTACAAAATATTTGGTTATATTTAGAAACACTCATTTTTTAAAAAGTGAAAGATTGGCAGCACTACTTATTACCAATTTGTCTTTTGGAGTGTAAAGACATCCTTGAATGATCACTTCATAGGAGAAAAATAGTGTAGAAGGTGTGTACAGTTTACAGAAACTGCAGAGTGATTTTATTGGCATTAAAATGTTAGATAATTTTTAAAAATTGAATCATATTGAAATTTTCCAAAGAATCGAATGTCACTGTCTCACTGCATGTCAGAATAATTAAAAAAGCAAGGCAATTTTGATGGTCCTGTCTTCCAGTGTTTGTAGAAAGTGAATTCATTATTTGTGTTCTTTCTTGAGTGTTTGGCTGTATTATATAAATGTATAATTAGTAAAATCCAAGTTAATTTATTTAGAATAAAAATGAAAAAGATTTTATAACATTATGTGAGTATAAATTATAAAGTTTAAAACGTTTACTTAAAGGTGGGACAGTTTTGATTCTCGAGGAGTTTTAATGTGTGTGTGTGTGTGTGTGTGTGTTAACCTAATGTGTGTGTGTGTGTCAACCTTTTGAAATCTAAAATTAGCTGAAAAGGGTAGAAATTTTGAACTGAAATTCTTAAATTTTAAGTGAGAAGTGTGGACTTGACATTAAAAATAAATGTTATAACTTAGAAAGAATATTTAATCAGAGGTCGAGAAGTCTGCATTCTGATTTTAGATATTCCTTTGACTTGATGTAAAATTCTTAGAAAAGTCGTTTTCCTCCTCTGGGTGCTGGATTCCTCAGCAACAATATGAAGAGTTTTGATTATATACATTACAGAATCTGTTCCTGTTCTCACGCTCAAAGAAATCATCACAAATTATCAGCAGTTTCAATACTACAGTAGGAGTAACTGAAAATATGGTCTATTTATAAAAGCGTATTTTATAACTTGCATTTTTAAGAAAACAATGAAGAAAAGCATTTTTCTATAAATTAGTAACTCAAAATAATTTATGACTCAGAAGTCTACCAAAGTATTGCATTATGTCTTTAAGATCCAAGACAGATCTATTTCTATGCCTTACAACCAAGATTGTACACACCGTGTCAAGTTCTTTTCAAGGTATGTGTTTCTGACTTCAGTATTTGAATTTCCTATAACTAACCATCACATGGAAAACTAATGTTTATTTCTTTGCCACCAAGTTCTGTGGGAAGTCAAAACTGAAACACCAGTAACAACATCAACAGCATTAGCAGTATTGGCCCAAGTTTACAACCTTAACTGTGATGATCCAATAACTAGATATTTAACATCTGGATATACTTCAGCCCCATGTCCTTTAGTTTGAGAATTTTCTGGTACAATTCATAATATTAAAAAAGAAATAATAACTATCAAATATTTGATAGCATTCAATTAGTAATTGATGATAAAAAACATTTCAAGTGACTTTTTTGACTGCACCATATGAAAAGCACACACATACACACATTATCTTTCAGTGCAGATGCTAATGCCACAGAATAGGAAGTATGCCCTGAAATTTACTTATAATCAAAATCAGATCTAACTCAATGTTATATCATATGTAATATTGACACCGTACATATTTCTCATTTTTGCAGTATCAGTGATTTTCAAAGATCCTTATTGTAGACATTATGTACAAATGTGGTTATACTTGAAAGGCAAAATTTAAAATATATTTTCTTTGATAATCATACCCTCTCAAACTCCAAATCATAAAGAAGAAAACTTTGCCTATATTCATTCAGCCACATATTCAATCACATAAATATTTTTAAAGCACTTCTTATATTCAAGATACTGGACAGCATGGTGAATTGACACAAAAATATTATGTAACACAGATATTCTTACCTCATTTTTAACACATATTTATGTCTTCAGATTGAAGTGGAGAGCAAAAATATTGAAAAATTAGAATACAAAACCAAAAATTTTCTTTTTATCAACACTCTCAATGTGTGGGTCCTCCTGGTGCTTCTGACCTCAAAGGGAAGAAACCAGCTTAGTTTTATAGTTGTGCTTGTTATCTTGGAACATAACTTTTAATATAATTCAGTATATAAACATTAAATTTAGTGTTAATCTGGTAGTGACTGTTCACTTTAAAAATAATTTTAAATTTATGAATGTCAGATGCATTGTCTTTAAATACAGTTGCATTTATAAAATTATGTAAAATAAAACTGAAGTTTTTCCTTAAATTTTCTGTCCTTAATAGTCTTTGTCTATTCCAAGCCTAAATCAATAACCATAATCCTTCCCTTACAGAAACTTTAAAGTGATTATAAAATTTTACAGCTCTAGCATTTGAATTTGATTTGTGAGAACTAAATTTGCCTTTCTGTCCACCCATCTAAATCAGGAACTACATTAAAAAAGGATGAAATCTAAGCATTTAGAAGTCAAGATAATAGGACAATATTTGACCAAATAATTATATTGCCCATGCTAAAAAGGCTCACAAACATTACAAGGTTATGTCTTTTGCTGTATTTACCTGGTAATAATATTGTCTGAATATTACCATAAAAAGCTTATAGAAATTTTTAGAAGGAAATATGATATGTGAAAAAATCATGCTGTGTGGAAGCATGCTTTTTATTTCTATGTTTTGGAAATTATTTCTCTGTTCTAGATAAAATAGATTTTGGGGGAAATGGGAATTGGAAAATATTACTTACACTCTACTTCTTTTCAGTATTATGTATAGTCCCATATATTTACAAAATCCTTTTTCTTGATTTTTATCTTGAGTTTTATGTTTCCTTTATGAATATTAGAATGTGGCACATACTTTTCTGTCTTTTCATTAGTGATCCTCAGCGGTCTCCTTTGGAACAAGCTCAGAAACCCATTGACATCAGACAAAGGAGCTCACAAAATCCTCAGAATTTCCAAGCAGCATCAGGTGATTCAAAGCACAGAGTTTCAACAGTCAAATAACAACACTAATGTTTAATAGTTTATATTCCAGAAGTCAGAAAAAAAAGAATTTCAAGAGGAAATGAATCAAACATGTCAGGGATTCCATATAGAATTAGGCCACTGGGTTTAGCAATTGGGTGGTCAGTGGTGACCTTTGTGAAATAGAAAATGATTTTTCTTAAGTTTTCTCTTGCAGTTGAGTAGTTAGGAATGTGTCTAGGAAAGTACAGAAGTCAGCTTTAGTTAGTTGCTATACCAGGTGAGACAAACAAGAAAAAGAATTTGAGAAAGGCTTCTCCAATAGGCAGAAAAATTATGATTAACCTTTTAGAATATTGGATATAATAGTTATGAAAGTGTGTTTTCTTAGCTTGTTATTTAACTTCTTCAAAATGTGATATAAACAACATATCATAACTATTTCTAAATGGTGTGAACTGATGGCCTTAACATACATAATTAATTAAATCATATAAAATAACTTCACAAATTGTGATATGAATTTCAAAAAAGTGTCATTTTCAAGATACGCTTTTGGGAGAGTATACGTGAATTAAAAAATTGTGATATATGATGATAAAATCAAAATTGTGCCTGAGATCATAAAATACAGCATCGCCTAGTTCTAAGCATTCCAGTTAAGATAAGCAAAAGGCAAATGCCTCTTCAAGTCCCAAAATTATCTTTAAAAATGTAGCATATGATTGTATTAAATATTAGTAAAATACAGAAAACTAGCATTCAAAACTATGAACTTAAAAATCTCATTCTTCAGTGTAAAAGAATCAGGTAATGACAGAATTCATTTAAGTACTAGTGTCTTCTTGTACAAAAACACTGTCTTCTGAGAAGTAAGATGAATCTGAGGGATGAGTAAAATTTTAGGATTTTTTAACCCAGAATCTTTTTCTTCTTGGTTCAAGTAGTGCTAATTTTTGTATACTGGGCAAACAACTAAAATTTTAAAGTCTAGTCATATTTCCTTTTTGAAATAAAGAGATTTTTAGATTAGGCACCAACACTGTTAAGTAGCATTGAAGGGAAGAAGAAAGAGGTAGCAGTACTCAAATTTCCTTCCAGGTCTGAACTTCTGTTGCATATTGTGACTGCTACACAGATCTTATGAGATTTCAGGCTTCTTCTTGAGGGAATCACCTTACTACAGATTTTCCTCAAAATCACAAGGCACTCCATCAAACTTCTTATTTGGTTTACTCTCATAAACAAAAGACTTGTTAAAAAATAATAAATGGCAAAAGCACAAGTGTCAGGAGATGAAGAAATACAATGTAGAGTGTGTATGTAATGTTCACAAGATGCAGCAATGTTTTCAAATCCATGCTTTTTGGAGTTGTAACTGTCTGTAATTTGGTCATATATACCAAGGCTGCAAATAAAAGGGGAGCAGTACTATTTATCTTTAAAATCTCAGTGCATAAAAACCATAAGCAGTGACCTGAATATTCCTTTAGAAAAGCTTTTTCTAGGTACATTCACCCAGATCTACTGACTTTTGAGCCTATTATATATTTTCACTGAATTTTAACTGCAAGTGCTATTTACCAGGCAGCTTAATATCAAAAGCTACACTTCTGAACTAAATAAATTTGTATTTTAAATGAAAATATCTACACTATGGAATTGAGCTGTGCAATGTGATAGCAACTAGTAACGTGGTTTTAAAATTAAAACCAAACAGAATTAAATAAACTTTAAGAGTTTATTTTTCAGGTACATTGGTCACATTTCAAGTGCTCAGTAATCATTTATGGCTAGTGGCTGCTATTCTGTACAATACAAACACAAAGCATTTCCATCAATGTGCAAAGTTCACTTACACAGGGCTACTATAGAAAGTCATAGCTTTACAAAACAGGTTAAAGTGTGCATCTTTTCACTAGTCTACTCTTAACTTTATTTAAATTCTTAAAGATATATCACTGGGTGAAAATTGAAGAAGGGGAGTTAAGATTGACGTAGCAAATCACATAAGTTTGGATTGATCTATCATTTTCTAATTAACATAATTGGCCTCTTTCTAATGGTTAGCATGTAAGGCCAGTGGTACTCCCAGTCCTTCATATTTTTGATACATCCTTTTTTATTTAAATAGATCTACCTGGCTACCAGCCTTATTGTGTACCTTTTTACACAGATAGAAATATTTAGCAAATATACATTGAATATTGAAAACAAAAACAACCACATAGATCTTTAGATGGAACAAATCTTGAGCCCGCAGACAGAATTTAAGATCCTGGTCCTATGAATATTTAACAGGTAATACTTCCTAAGTGGAATTATAGAGGTTATTAGAAACAGAAGAGATTGAATTGGGGACTATATATAAATGAAGGCAATCACTGTAACCACCAGCATTACTAATGTATTTTTGACATTCCATAGAATCTTCTGAAGAGGAGAGTCCTGTGACTGGGAGGAGGTCCCAGTCATCACCGCCTTATTGTACTATTGATCAGAAGTTGCTGGTTGATATCCATGTAGGTTTCATTCTTAATACATTCGTATCTATTCTTTTTAATTTTCAATTTGTTTTGACCTAAATTTTATCCTCTTCACTTAAGGAGGGAAAGGTTAAAGAGTTTAATTCTTTATTAATCTTTTCAAGATAGATTCCCACTATATAAACATCCAGAATACAAAATTTAGAAGTTAAAACTGAAATGAGAAAAGTGTTGATTCATCGAATAATATTTTATTTTCACATTTTTATATCAGTATGAACATATTAAAGAGAGTAGTGATAGATACTTGTAGAAGCTGATGTCAAATTAAGAGAGTAAATGTTAATATGTTCAATTTGAGTCTAATAGTATTTCTTAGTTGATGAGACAATGTATAAAAATAAAACATTTAGTGAAAAACAAAATGTTCTCTGATACATAAATAAAAATTCTTCCAGCTCATTTTGAAGTGTGTTTTAAGATAATTTTAATTTTGTAGTTACGTTTATCCTACTATACACACACCCATACCCAAAAGTTGCTGTGTGACATATCCCATACTTAAGAGATGGATTTATATTAATTTTCTTATTTGAAGTGTTTGAGATTCTTTAAGATAACCTATGGCATTTAAAGACAAAGCTTGGAAATTAACTTAAGAACTTCATAAGCTATACATTAATCTAAAGTCAGGAGAAAAATAAAAGGAAAATAACTATCTATAGAGCATCAAATCGCTTGTTTTTTCCAGCATCAAAAGCAAATGTCAACTCTTCAGTAGACAAGTAGGGATAATAAAAACAAAGTGAGTATATTTTGCCTGTGTGCTCTAGAAAGTCCACTAATAATCGTAGTTTAATGTTTGGTTTTTGACATCTCATCCTCACTAAAATGTTGACTCTTGCTAATAAGTGGACATCTTTATTTTACTTGCAAATATATTTTTAAATGTTTTCAGCTTGAAAACTTTACAATCTAGAAGAAAATGAAAGGGTACAAGAGACTACATTAACCTTTCTTGTGCACACAGGTTCCAAATGGATTTAAAGTAGGAAAAATATCACCTCCTGTGTACTTGACAAATGAATGGCCAGGCAATAACTCACTTTCTGAAGTCTTCTGGAATGAATGGTTAACTCCTACACCTGTCATTCAGCCACCTGAGGAGGATGGTGATTATGTTGAACTCTATGATGCTGGTGCTGATACTGATGGTAATGATGGTGTTGCTAATGGTGCTTCTAGTGGTGCTTGTGAAGATACTTATGACCATTCGAATGGCAATGATGACTTGGATAACCAGGTTGCTCAGGAAAATGATGTCTGTGAAGACCATGGTGTTGTTGACAACATTGACGTGTCTGTTGATGGCATAGATAATAATCCTGTTTATGCTCCTAATTGTTCAAGGTTGGTTTTTTCAGTGACTCATATTATCTATGTTTTATAACTTTAGAATTGTTTTCATCTTTGCTTTATTTTCAAAGGTATTATCCTGAGAGAGAACGAATTGTCCCTGCATAATGGCAAATAATTGATCTTCAATAATATAGTCTAAATTGTTCTACTGTAGAATGCTTAACTTCACATTAATTGCATGTTATTTTTATTATCATTCAATTATTTATTAATTGCTTTATAACTGGAGTGGTCTGAGTGTTTTTATTAAGATTATTGTGACTAAATATTACTACTATGTAAAACAACAAGCATAATAAATGACCAAAGTGAAGCTACCAGTATTTGCAAACATAGCTATGCATTCCTGAAACATGTATGTGATAAATTTAGCATGATATTTACCTGATTTATTAGTAAATATCTATCAAGATTTTCATAGTTGAGAGGCTGAGGCAGGTGGATGGCAAATTTGAGATCAGTCTAGGCAACCTAATGAGACCCTGTCTCAAAATAATAACTAAAAAGAAAGGATTCAGAATCTAATTCAGTGATACCGTGCATCCACTAACCCCTGGGTTCGCTCCCCAGTGTCACACATAAGAATAAAAGGAGTTCCATTCTCACATAGATTTGTTTTTAGAATCACTAGAGGAACTTACGTTTAATGTCTCATATGCAAAAAGAGAATACTGAGACATTTTGGCAAGTTTGGTGTTTTTAAAAACTGATTAAATGACTATCATAGTTCTATAAGACATTAGGCCAATTTTATTTTAACTTGCTGGGAAGATAAGTTGATCAATGGTATTCTGTAGCAAAGAAGTCAATATATATTTTAGAAAATAAAGGCAGGTATTAAATTTAACATAAATTAGATACGTTGCAAGGGAATTATTCAAATATTTTGTAGCTGAGCCAAAGTTATGGGCTTAATCATTCATGTGACTGTGAAGTTTCTAATGCTTTAAGTAGTCTATTATGAAAGAAAAAAGTGCATGTTTGTCCTACTAATGTAATGCATGAACCTAACAAGGAATGCAATTTCTCTTTCCTCTGTCACCCAAATGCAGCCAAAGAATTGACAGTGGTATGGTGCTAATCAGTATTTAAGACTGGCAGGACATTGTGGTTTTTTCTTCTTGTCTGAATACTAATAGTGTTCACACAAACCAAAAACACGCCTAGTAATGGTAGATACGTATAAGAAATATCCTAATTGTGTTTCATTTACTGTCTTTAACTATGTTTTTATTGAGTAACTTTCTTTCATTAATGTGTCCTTGTTATCAGGGCAAGCTGTGTTAAAGATGGAAGCTGCAAGCAAGATGGCAGTGATGAAAAAGAAGATACTAGCAGAGGCAATAGCAGTAGAAGCCATGGAAGTACAGCCAGTGGAGGCAGTGAAGCCATTGGATATCAGGAAAGACATGGAGGTGATATAGGCAGTGAAAGAGGTAGTGGGAGTAATGGAAATAAGGGAGTCAGTGGCAACAATGAAGAGAGTAGAGCGTGTGGATTCAATGGAGGAGAAAAGCAGTCAGACACAGATGGTCCAGGATTGAAGAGACCCATATTCCACGATTTTGAACCTCAACCAGAGGTAATGTACTATTTGTAAAAAATAATAAATTACTCTCATTGGGAATGTGTTTCTCACATGATATTTAGCATTTCCAGCTATGCCAAGTAGATTTTAACTCTCTGCCCTGAAACATTAAACATTTTAATTATCGCTGTGGGTGGAGGTTTTTACTGCTTCTAATTTGGCTGATTCTTTTTTATTTCCAGAGACAAAAGTATCTTATTTGCCTTTCTTTACTCATATCACAGATGTGGGGTGGTACATCTTAATATATAATTTTCCTGGAAAGATTGTTTCTATTTTAAAATATACATGATGTACAATTTAACTTTTTTTTCAGTACTGTGAATTGAACCCAGGGCTTTCTCCCTGAGCTACATACTCAGCACTTTTCTGTTTTTGTTTTTGTTTTGAGTCAGGATGTAACCAAGTCACTAAATTGCCCAGGCTGGATTCAAACTTGCAATCCTTCTACCTCAGTCTCTCAGACTTCTAGAATTAGAGGCACGGGCCATCACACTTGGATATTTTCAATCTTTTTAAGAAAACAAATCAGTGGCATTTAGTATAGCCAGTGGCATATAATCCTCACTATTCCCCATTTCTGTTACTTTTTTATCATCCCAAACAATTAAGTCACAGTCACTTCCCCACTCCCTGGTAACCTGTATTCTAATTTATTTCTAGGTAACATTTTTAATCAGACAATATTTGTCCTGTCATGTCTGGATTATTTCACTTAGGATAACAATTTCAAGGCTCATCATGTTGTAGTATGTATTGGGATTTTGCTCCTTTTTCAAGGCTGAATAATATTTTGACACTTTTTGTTTTGGTTGTTTCCACATTTGTCCTATCATGAATAAGCTTCTATAAATCTTGGTGTACAGGCATCTGATTCCATTTTCAGGTCTTTTTAGGACTCTATCTAGGAGTGAAATTGCTATATCATATGCCAAGTGCATGTTTAACTTTTTGAGAAATTGTTGAGCATATACTGGTTTGTTTGTCTGTTTGAGACAAAGTCTTAATGATTTACAATAGGAAAGCAGTATCAGTGTGAAAGTATCTATGTGTACATGCATCTATCTATCCATCTATCATTCATCTTAATTAAAGACATTAAAACAGGATGTCCAAACATTAGTTTCATGGCACCCTGAGAATCTCTCATTATTTTAAGGAAAGTTTTGATTTTTTACTGGTAAAATGGACCTTCCCTTCATTTTAATTTTAAAATGTTGCCCTACTATATACTATAGTTTATTGGTTTGTTAGGTCATAAAAACCATTCCTTGACAGAGTGGAACAATTATCCCAGTACCAAAAATCACTCTTTAAATACAAAAAAGAGCTTGTCAATAGACAAATTTGTCAAAAACAGTTGGTGTGTTTTCCTACAAGATGTGGAATGCCACATTGTCACATTTTTGTGGTTTTTATCCTTGATTACCTTTATTAGCTAAGGGTAGTAGGCTGGATTTTCACTTAAATATATTTATACGCTCGACTACAATTTTGTAAGTTGATTTTTCATCTTTTGTTTTGTCATTTAAAAATTTTTCATGCTGTAAGTTCTCAGAAGGTATGTAAAGCAATAGAATAGATAGACCCACACAGTGCCTTTTACTTTTATAAGCAGCTATTTGGAATGACATAGTTGAATATATACTTTGTAACCAAATAGACTTTGGCTTCAAATTCTAGTTTCATGTCTTATTAGCACTATGACCTAGAAAACTGTATTTAACATTTCTAAGTAAAATTTAGTTTTATTATAAGTAAATAGGAGATAATTATATTTATTTGTTGACTTATGATAAGGACGGATGGTGATATGTAAGTAAGATTCCTAGCATAGTAACACAAATGTTAGCACACAAATTGGGTAAGTGGGACTTAATGCCCCTCATATTTCACCTCTAACATCAGTTGTCTCAACAATGACATTGTTGAGTTTTGAAAGTAAATGTGGATTTCATAAGGACATACATATTACAAATTTTGCATTCAAGTTTTTAAGTAACTCCTATGCATATTTCTTCTCCTTAAACTTTCTAACAAAATAAAAATTGATTTTATCCTTTCAGGAGCTAAATAGTGGGAGTGAAGGCTCAAACTCCATTGCCTCACATGCTGCACTCCCTGAACTGGATGATGGGGATGGTGATATAGACACATCAGAATCATCAATACAGTCGGATTTTTTTGAAAATAACTCATCTCCTTCCAAAGGTTCTGGGATGGCTGCTAATGCTGACTTTGCCTGTGCCATCTGTGAGTGTCTAATATGATTTCTCAGTGCTTCTACTTGTTCTCATATTCAATGCTTTTTATCCACTTATTAATGATCTTCAAGGAATCAAATAATTCTGATGTTCGGTTGACCTAATTTCAGATGAATGTATGCTTTTACTAAATCTAATGTTCGCTGAATTTTATGGTGCATAACTGAGATAAAGTTTAGAAATTGAGTCCCATATTAGATTTGGTTTTTATTCTAATAACAGTCACTTAAAATATTTTTCTATTGAGCAGTGTATTTTTAACCATTGTAATTAGTGTGGTCTGATGGTTTGAGAATTGTCAAAATGATACCTTCAGTAAGAAATAAAATACAGAACAGGAAAAGGAACTTTTTTAGGCTGCAGCATTTTGTGGAAGCACTCAAGTACACATGATGTATAAACTAGCAATTTCTCTTAATATCTTCCTCTTACTTATTCCTAGTGTATGCTGGATTCATGGAAGTCCCTGAAAAATCAACTGAGAGAAACTTTGAAGTCAATGTTAATCCACCCTTTGTCTCTTCTACATGTAAAAAACCACTAATCCACATGTATGAAAAAGAATTTACTTCTGAGATCTATTGTGGTTCTTTGTGGGGTGAGTTTGGTTTTTTGAAACTGAGTTGTTTTTGTAAAAGACTCTATTTTTCACGTGGATAAAAAATGTGAAAATCATATATGTAAAACATTTGTTAACTCTTACCAAATCACTACCAAATCAAATAAAATATATTTATAATTTACTCAGAAATAATTTTGTTGATTGATGCCTCACTCCTTTTATAATTAGACAAGTTTTTGATTATTTGAAAATTTGAGCTTAGTATTCCTAATTTAGGATATAGTGCAGCATATTATACCTAGTAAAATATTGTAAGAAAAATTTCTATAGAATCTTATTTTTAAAGTTGTGAGGATTTTAAGAGAAAATTCCGCTATAAAGACTTAACTTTGACAGCCTTCTATTATTTGTTTAAAAAGCAGCGATATCAGTAATACTGAGACAATATTTTACCTCAAGCCAGTCTGCATCATAAATAAAATGGAATAAATAAATGCAAGAACAAGTGCCCATCAACTTTAAACTGGATAAAGAAGATGTGTTTTTTTATAAAATGGAGCACTACTCAGCCATAAAGAATGAGAAACTAGAATCATTAATAGCTAAATGGATGCATATTGAGGCCATACTCTTAAGTGAAATAAATAGGACACACATGTGTAAATATCGAATAGTTTCTCTAGTGTGAGAAACTGAAAGTGTAAATGAGGATTAAAAGGATTAATATCGAATAATTGATACTTTGAAATGGAAAAAGTCCAAAGGGGTAAGAGTGGTGGGAGGGGAAGGGGAAAAGGAAGAAGGGAAAGGAAAAATTATGAGAAAACAAAAAAAGTGGAAATGAAGTCTATGTAAATAGGGAAGGGTGGAGGGGGTGAAGGGCACACAGGTAGTGGGGAAAAAAATAAAAACCAAGATACATCATGTACAGGTACAAGCACCCAATGATAAATGTAAAGGTATTGTATACTTAAACCAATAAAAGAATTTAAGGGAAAAAAATGAATGCAAGGAATGGCAGACTCCAAAGTAAATGCTAACTTCCAACTTCAAATTTGATAGATTTTATTTGATGTACAATTGAGCAGGAGAAGTGTTTTCAATTAAGTAGCAAACATAATTATATGGATATTTTATGGACTGAGAAATTTAGAAAAATGGTATCCTCAAAACTTTGCTGATTGTATCAGACAATAAGAAGGCATTAGCACTTCAGCCTAGCAATTACCCAGAAATATAATGTTGAGTAATTCATACTTATAACTAGTGATTATTTACTTTGAAAAATAAACAATCATAATAAAAAGTGATGCTATTTCCCCCTCCTTCTTTGACTTCCTTTAGGGAAGATACTGTTTCTAAACCTGCCATTGGCTGTGAGAACTGGAAAGGGGCAGAGTGGAAAACTGAAGGCAGAAACACTAGTGTTTTCTCCTTATGGTCTCAGAGCACAAATATTCTGCAAGGGGATGACAGATACTGAAGTTTCCTCCTCTGTCACTTGGCTAATTGTCTCCTCTATCTCAGTTGATGGGGAGAATCCCACAGTAGTTTGAAATGTGTTTTAAATTTAGTTGTATCTTCTATTTCAATCTTTGCCTTTGGCCTTTAAAGAGTACATATATTTGAGCTATTAGAGCTAGCCAACAAATAAAAGATAGCATAGACACCTAGATACATAAAGATAGGAACAATTTCACAGGTATTTATCGAAGTAAAATTTTGTAATATCTGAATGAGCATAGAAGCACTCAAGTTAAAATATACATATAATTATTTTAAAAGCATTACAATATTTTGTTATAGCTATGAAGGAGAAATGATCTAAACTGAATTATTTGTGTGTTCTAGACTAAAGATGTTTAATAGTGATCTGTAAAAGAATTGATTGACTTTGATAAACTGTAGGACACTACTAATCGTTGCTCAGATATACATAAAATTCTATTTGTGAGATGGCAAAGCAGACAACAAACTGTAGAATATTGCTTCAGAGTATTATCTTCCATCTTTTCATATATTTCTGGGAAATTTGTATTATTAGAGTACATAGCATGAAATTAATTGCAGTATGAAATTAATATTAGCCTAAAATTATAAAAGTCACCTTTATATAGATTAGCACACTGAAGTATAAAAAATGTAATAGAAATGCAATTGCATAAATAACCTGAACTAATGTAGTACTTTTCGTATCTGAACAGGAGTCAATTTGCTGCTCGGAACCGGATCTAATCTGTGTCTATTGGACAGAAGTGGAAAGGCAAACATTACTAAACTTATAAAGCGAAGACCATTCCGCCAAATTCAAGTCGTAGAGCCACTCAATTTGCTGATTACCATCTCTGGTTTGTTTAAGTACTAAAATTAGCTGAGTAATTATGTAAATTAATTAGGTAGCAAACTGGGTTAATGACTTCCTCAGAAGAATGTGTTCATAGGTGAACACTTTAAATATAACATTTAATTGGGACACTAGACTCTCCTACTTGTATTTTTTAAATCTGTTTACAACTTAAGTTAACTTCCTTTCATTGCAATACACTTAACCCAGGTTATTGATAAGAAAACCCACATCATTTGCATCCTTTCAGGTGTTTTCTTGGATAGCCTCTTAAGATTTCACACCTCTAATTTTCATACACTCATACACACAGACCACACCAATATCCATCAAACACCATTCTTGTGATATGAGAGAAGCAAAAGAGCAACAACAACAAAAATAAACCAAAGTGAAGACATATTTGGGTGAAAAAGAGACTTGATTCTGGCAAAGTCTTATCACTAGTGCCTATATGTAAGGTTTGTTATAAGAATAGGTTCCCTGGATGCACCTTGAATCCACAATATTAAGTGAAATATGTTAAACACACAAGCTCATATATTTTATGGTTTCTCTTATATGAGAAATCTAAAGTATAAATAAATTAAAATCAAAGAAAACATAGATAGTAAGAGACAGTAAGATAGACTTTTTTGAAAATGGGAAGGAGACCAACAGATGAGGGGGGGGAGTGGAGAATGGGGTAAACGGACATGAAAAAAATTAAGATATGTCACATACATGTACCAACTAACTAGCCACAATGATTGTATTCATTTTGTATTACAAACATGTACTAAAAGCAGAATGAAACCCCTCAAGGCCTCTACACATTTTTTTTCCTTTTTTTGTTTCTGGAGATTGAACTCAGGACCTTTCAGTTGCCAGACAGGAGCTGTGCTTCTGAGCTACATCCCCAGCCCAAGAGTTGCATTTTTTATTTGGGAGCAATCAGAGCCTAAACTGTTCACTATGAAAAAGCAAGTAAATGAGTGTTAGGGTGAATGTGATTGCTAACTAGGACTTGTTATAAGAAAGGAGTCACGTTAAATCTGCATATGGGCAAAAGATGACAGAAAATAAAGGAGAGGTAAAGTTGAAAAAATGATTTAGTTATAGAGTAAAATCATGCTAAGCACAGTTATTTAAATTAGTTTATATATTTTTATAATATTTAATAGGTAGAATATATGCTAGTGTGAAAACTGCCATGTTACATGCTGATTATATGTTATGAAATATGATTAAGTTTCCTTTATATTTGCATTAAAGGAGAAATCCCTTTAGAAATATGCTCAGGCATCATGATTTTTTAAATTATATTTCATGACCATTCATTTATAACTATCTGAGGTACAACAGATATTTAGCAATATTTGGTTTTTGAAAACATCTGGGTAGTTTAGAGACTACACATCTAAATAACAGATTTCATTATAACACAGATTTTCTTTACATTTTTTTCTAACCCAAATATGGCCTTCCTTAATGTTTGAGCATCTCTCAAATGTGAATTATTTTAGTATCAAATAGTTCTGAGAATATCCGTACAGGAAGATACCCAATAGTTTATTTTACCATTTAAGAACAGAATGTTCATAGACATAAATATCGAAACCCTAATATTGTTTCAGATATTTTATGTAAAACATATCAACGATTAATCACATGAGAGTCCTATTGTTGAGATTAGAAATTTTTATAATAAACTTTAAAAATAAATAAGAAAAATGAATGTAACTCATTGTGTAGCAACAGAAATGTGTAATTTTAGTGGCCTCTGCTTCTTGAATAAATTTTATGAATTTGGTGTGATTTAAGAAATTGCAATTGAGAAATTAATATGAAACGTGATCTCATCGCAAGTCATATCTGAAGGATTGATCTCATAAACCTTGAAAATAGAATAATACCAGACATTGGGTTAAATAGAGGGTAGGAGAAAAGGAGGAGAGGTAGAGAAATGGGTACAACATTATGGGAATACAAGAGAAATTAGCTTTGGTGTGCTGTGGAATAGTAAGGTGCATGTAATTAACAACACATTATCAATTTCAAAATAGTTAGAAGAAAGTAATTTGAATATACTTACAATAAGGAAATATTAATAGTTTAAGGTCAATTTGAAAGGTTAAGTTTAAGCTAGTTATCCTGAGTTGATTGCTACACAATGTATACATGAATTAAAATATCATATTATGTACCTCAAAATATGTATTATATTATGTAGCAACAAAAGTTTAAAACCATTAAAATAATTTTTAAATGAAAAAATTAATTGGGTTGAAGAAGAAATGATAAACCTTCAACTATTTTATAAGCATGACAGAGCAGTAGAAAACAAAGAGATCCATCTTCATGGCCTCAAATGACTAACCGGTCAATATTCAGACATTCCTTGTATACACACACATTATCAGGGATAGCTCCTAGTTTTCTGAACCACAGAGGAATTGTGACTTAGTAAAAAGCCCAGGTATAAATGAATGGGTGGTAATTCTGTTGCCTGCTCAGTGGCAATCATAACTTGTCTCAAAGAAGCATTTTAGATCCCACCACAGAAAAGCACCTAGCACTTTATCACTTAGAACTGTGAGACTAAAATTTTGCTATCTCAATTCCAAATGATGAAGGGGAGATTCTGATGCAATGTAGTTTTTAAAAATATGCCTTTTACAGTAATGAAAACATTTGGTTGAAAAGGCAAAATATTTTAACTTTTTGTTCTTCTAAGATATGAAGATGAAAGCTGGAATTGAGATATTGTATCTTTTTTTATCAGGTCATAAGAACAGACTTCGGGTGTATCATTTAACTTGGCTGAGGAACAAGATTTTGAATAATGATCCAGAAAGTAAAAGAAGGCAGCAAGAAATGCTGAAGACAGAGGAAGCTTGCAGAGCTATTGATAAGTTGACCGGATGTGAACACTTCAGTGTCCGTAAGTCTCATTTCACATTTACTATAGCTATATAAAATTTCCTTTCTTTCACTGAGTGAAGTATATAATTAAGAAATAGAAAGTAGAAATAGGAAGGAATTTGCAACTTCGAATGGAAAGATAAGTGAATTTCATTGAGACGTGTCTTTTCTGCTACAATCTTGGCTGTTAATGAGAAAATATTAATTGGCTGAAATAACTATTGATGCTAAATTTGGTGTACTCCTTCACCTTTCTTCCCTTATGAGTCACAGTAAATATACCAGTTGAACTGATATTTTTCCTACCTCTATACAGCTATAAGTGCTTCTGATGTATCTTCAACAATCTATAGAGACTTATGATATTTCTTTAGAACGGTAATAAAGTAGAACTACTTTTAGTAATAACCAGAAACTTTATAATAAGTGAAAAAGAAAATGTTTCTATGATCTTCTGGCTTGCACTGTCAATACTGATTATGCATTTAGCATTTTGTGTAATTAGAGAATATTTTATATCCTTCATCTCTTTGCAACCATCCACTGTGAAATAATAGCAAAGCAACAACTCCAACATCTCAGAATTCTGCTTTCAGCTGTCAACTATGAAGCAATATCATTCCATTCTGTTCAATTTATGAAGCAAGTCCCATCTACTCTCAGCCTCATTTTTTCTTCTGTCTGCACTAATTTCCCCTTCAAGAAGAACTGGTATCATAGATTGAAGGTAGTTCAAAGTATATTATATGAATTGCAACAGCATATTTCTGTCATGACTAAACATTTTTGTCTTGTATATAAAGAAGCATTATCAGAATATTTTTTCTCATGTGTGTGGATATATACACATACACCACTAAAAGGGGGAATTAATAAGCATTAAATAAAAGCACGATTATTCTTGGTTTTGAATATCACTACTCCCTTCTAATCATATTATGTAAATGTGATAGCCTTAGAGGTAAAACATACCCCAGATGTTATCCAGGAGTTTATATTGCAGAACTATTTCCTATTAACCTGTACCTTTTTAATTCAATAATGTTATGAAGGTAATAATCTTGTAAATCTATACTCTTGGCAAGTGGATGGATTACGTAACTACAGTTTTCCTGACTTGTCTCATTTCAATCTACTCCATCATTCGGAATATTGACAAGTGCAATGGTAGTATGTTCACAAAGGAAGAGAGCTATGAATCATACTTGTTCAGTATTTTCATAACCTTCCAAGCTCCATAAAGCAATGAGGTCCCAAAAATCATTAACCTTTATTAAATGTATAGAAAGTGTTTGCTTAACTAAAACACTTCCTTTTCTTGTTGGGGATTTATTAGTCATGTTCCTTTGACTTGGAAACAAATACAAAAGTATATGAAAGTGTAATCAGAGAGTGGGAGAGAGAAAGAGAGAAAGAGGGGGGGGGGCAACACAGAAACCTTCCAATCAAGAAAGAAGGAATTTAATGCAAAGTACAAATCTACCAGGTAACACAATATATTCCATAAGAACCAGAAGGGCTAAAAGCAAGCATATACTTGTTATTTTCCCTTAAAAATTGTCCTGTTGAGATCTTTCCCACCACTCCCGGCCCAGAGGAAAGGGCTTTTGGACCGCCTACTGTCCCGCCGCTCTCCGCCTAGAGGAAGGGGTTTCCAGGTCCCTGATCATCCCACCGCTCCCGGCCCAGAGGTAGGGGCTTTTGAGCTGCCATCCCACTGCTCCTGGTCCAGAGGAAGGGGCTTCTGGGCCACCATCCACCCTGCCACTCCCAGCCCAGAGGAAGGGGCTTCCTGGCCACCATCTGTCCCACCGCTTCCAGCCCAGAGGAAAGGGCTTTTGGGCCACCATATGTCCCACTGCTCCCGGCTCAGAGGAAGGGGAGTCCAGGCCACCATTCCCCCCTCCGCTCCAGGCCCCTGTCCCACATCTCCCAGTTCAGAGGAGGTGAGCTGCATGGGCGCCAACAGCATATCCCACTGCCTCCCCGGTCAAAATGAGAAGACACGTAAATAAGTCTCAAAACCAGACTTCCAGATCACCTACAGCAACCCCAAAGGGAAATGAGATGGAAC